ATGGTAGGTTCATTCTTCTTCCCTGAGTCATTCAGTCTGGAGGAACACCCTGGGGGCTACAGCATGATTCTCATGGAGGCCTGCTGGCCCCCAATTCTTCAGAGCAATCTGGGCAGAGGACGTGGCCCACTGTCCCCAACCCCAGCACGACCTGTGGGCTCTCCTGTATCTTCAACTATTGAGTCTGTTAAATTATACACATCAAGCCACATCTCTCAAGGCCAAAATTAATGATCAAGGACAGGACAGGTCTAAACGCATGATAAGGAAGGAACTGTTTTCTTAACTGTTCCCTAGTTAGCAGCATGCCTTCCCTTTCCTTGGCGTCTGTAGGTCATGTGATGTGCCAGGTTAATGTTTCACTTCTTTCTTGCACCTCTTTGGGGCTGTAGCGCCCCTCAGTGACTCCTCCCTTAATATCACTCAGAGGGTCTCAGAGTCGGTCCTTCTCACCAGACTTAGTGAAATCTCACTGAAGGCCTTTGTTCGCCTCATTTTTTGGAAAGGCAGCAAGTGGGAAATGCTTGAAAGACACTTTACACAGGGCTTGGCACACCCTGTTCAATTCATACCCTCCAGGAGCACCAGGAAGCTTCCCAGGGGTCAACTCAAGAGCAGCTGCAGATGGGATTTTCCATGTTACTCTTGTAGGTCATGGGGAGTTGACTGGGGGGGGGAAGTCGACACTTAGACTGAATCTCCTATCTCCTCAAAACCCTATGACATAAGAATTTTCTCATTATCCATTTACCACCAAGAGAGCTAAGGCCTAGAGAGATAATATGCCGTAGGTCACATGGCAGGGGCCGTTATTTGAATGACTCCAACACTGTGTCTGTCTCCACTGCTGGAGACACACCATCATGGCCAACTTTGAGAAGATGACTTTTGCCCCTCCCAGAACACCTCCTTCTCGTTGTGACTCCTCTCATCCCCTCTGTCCACCGACACACTCCCCTACTGTTAATGCAGTGTGATGGCATTCCTTGAGAAGAGTGGTTCTATCCCCTGGTGAACTTGTAGCCAACTTGGGAAAGGAAAGACCCATTCATTGAGCCTTCCATTACTGGGCACCTTGCTATATACTAGGGTTACTGATATGAGTAAGGCATGGTGTCTGCCCTCTGAAGACCATAGTCCAGTTGTGGAGAAAGACACAGAAGCACATAGTTATCCTGTGTTCCGATATGTGGTCAACCACCTCTGTCTGGGAGAGTCAGGGGAGGCTTATCAGAGTGGAGACAATTGAGCCGGGTATTGAAGAATCAGTAGGAGTTCACTAGATGCATCTGAGTGGTGCAGGGGGGGAGGGGAAGTGAAATGAACTCATATTTAATGAGTCAGACTATCTTGTTTAATTTTCACAAAACCCCATGGAGAGGTATTGTTAGGACCTTATAGATGAGGAACCAGAGGCTGAGATGTGCAATGAATTTCTCGAGAGTTTTTTCAAGTGTGTTACAGGGACTCCTGGGGGGGATCCCCAAGACTCTTTGAGCAGGTCAGCAAGGTTATAACGATTTTCAAAATAACCTCAAGATGCTATGTGCCTTTTCATTGTGTCAACATTTGCACTGATGGTACAACAGTGATGGAAGGTAAAACTGCTGGTATCTTAATACTAGTGAAGGCCTTGGTGCCAAGTTGTACTTGGCATCGTATTCTTCACACTCATGTATTTGCAGTTTAAAAAAACCAGCCAGTTTAGTTGAGGAATGTCCTTGATAAAGCAGTACAATGATTAATTTTATTAATCTTTTTTCAAAAAAAGATTTTATTTATTTACTTGAGAGAGAGAGAGCACACACAAGCAGGGGGCAGGAGCCGAGGAAGAAGCAGGCTCCCCACTGAGCAGGGAGCCTGATGCAGGACTCAATCCCAGGACCTTGGGATCATGACCTGAGCCAAAGGCAGATGCCTAACTCACTGAGCCACCCAGACACTCTAATTTTATTAATCTTGATCCTCAAGTACATGTGTTTGTGATATTTTGAGTGTTGGGACAGAAGTTTGCATAGAGCACGTCTGCTCCACACCGAAAAATGCTGATGGTTGCAAGAAGAAGCACATGTATGGCTGCTTGAGTTGCAAGCTGAACCAGCCAATTTTTTTTTTTTCATGGAATATTGTTTTTACTTGAAAGAATGACTGACAAACTGAGCCTGTTCAAACTTGGGCATTTGACTGACATTTTCTTGGAAATGAAAGAACGCTCAGCGTTCCACCTCAAGCAGACATTTATTATTTGTTGCCAATTATAAAATTTGAGCTTTCAAACCGAATTGGAATTGTAGAAAGTTGTATCTTTCAGCTTTTCCGTATTTAATGACTTTGCTGATAAGATTGATGGTAATATTAATGGATGTGATTTTTTCGCATTATGCAATCAAATGTGTCAACCTTTGGAAGGTCTACATAACTCAATTAGTGAAAACTTTCCCAGTAACAAGAATTATGCATGGGTAAGATATTCATTCAAAGTTCAAGACAGAGCCATGGACTTGAATGTAACAGAGTACAAAACGTTCATCCACCTGCTTTCAGGAAATACTACTTGTTGAGTTTTTTGGTGGTGTCAAAGAAGAATATCCACAGTTACCTGCAAATTTATTAGAATATGCCTCTCTTTCCAGATATGTATCTCATTGGATTTTTCTTCCTAGAAGTCACCCAGAACAAGACATCTCAATAGACTGAATGTAGAAGTAGATGTGATAATCCAGCTAGGCATGAAAGAGACTTGCAAAATATAAACAGTGGCACTTTTCTCTTTCCTTTGTTTTGGAAGTTATAGTTACTTTTCAGAAAAATATGTCACTTATGTTAACACGGATGGGGTTTTCACTGTTAATTTCAGATTAATTACTAAATAAATATTTTTAACTTTAAAAAAAATTTACTTATTTTAAGTAAGCTCCACACCCAATGTGGGGCTTAAACTCATGACCCTGAGATCAAGAGTCCCAGGCTCTGCCCACTGAGCCAGCCAGACGCCCCTAAATAAATAATTTTAAATGCCTCGGTTGTTATTTCCAATCTGGTAAAGGTCATTAGATACAAGCCATCTAAATAAAGGCTCTTTGGGCTCCTTCGTAAATTTGAAGAGTTATGTCCTGTGAACAAAAAGTTTGAGAATCTCTGCCCTGAGGCTTTGTTGAAAATAAGTGTTTTGTGGTGATCTGTGTCATTCTAAAGCCCACATTCTTTTCCTACACCAGTGATTTGCAGCCGGCCATGAGAGGGGGTGGGAGTTCACCCTGCCCCACGTGGGGGAAGTTTTATCCAAATCTCTGAAAGGATTCCCCCCCCCGCCCCCCGCCCCCGGGGGCTGGGCAACCAGTTTCAACATAATTGCTTTGGCGTCTACCAAGCCCTGATCTGCCTCTCTCCCTCAGATGTCTCTTTCTCCACAATTTTCCTTTGCTTTCTCTTTCTCTCCTGTTTTTCTCCTCCAAATCTTCCCCCAAGTCCTGCTTGCATCCTTAACCCCACTCTGCTTTTCTTTTCTTCCTGCTCTGAAACTGGCCAGAGGGGGGCTGAGCCCACAGGAGGTCCCTGGCAGTGCTCAGCTTTGGAGGAGGACTTGGGGCTCCTGGGAGATGTTTCCAGGGGCTTGCGGGGCTTTCATGGTCCAGACTCTGTAAAAGTTGAGCGGTCCAGGTGAGACCAGAGGCTTCTCACTAGAGAGTCTTGCACAGGTGGGGTGGAACCGGGTGATCTTTAGGATCCAAGCCAAATGTAAGTTCTGTGTCTGACTGACCACTTTTAATCATCCACTGGACACTGAATCATTTCTGTTCTGATGCTTAGCGGAAGGGTGGGACATGGTTAGGCTTTTCTGTGCCTCGCATCCACTCCTCCATTGCCCAAGGCACCAGAAGAGGTGCTCTGGTTGGCTGTTGTCTGGGGCACGGGGGGTCCCACCTCAGCCATGACTCTGTCAGTTCTTGTTGTCTACCCCAAACCATTCTGCCTTCCATTGGCCCAGCCATTGCGAGCTTGGGACAGCCTGCTTCAGACAGACCCCTTCAAGGCAAGCGTGTGTGTGTGTGGGGGGGGGGCTGTTTTTTAATTGAGGTAAAATTCACATACCCTAAAATTCATCATTTCAACCATTTATTTTTTATTTTTTTATTTTTTAAAGATTTTATTTATTTATTTGAGAGAGAGAATGAGATAGAGAGCATGAGAGGGGGGAGGGTCAGAGAGAGAGGCAGACTCCCCACTGAGCAGGGAGCCCGACGTGGGACTCGATCCCGGGACTCCAGGATCACGACCTGAGCCGAAGGCAGTCGCTTAACCAACTGAGCCACCCAGGCGCCCCATTTTAACCATTTAAAAGCACACAATTTTAATGGTTTTTAGTATACTCACCAGGATGTGCCATCATCATCATTCTAATTCCAGAACACTTCATCATCTCAAAAAGAAACCTCCATGAAGCATCGCTCGCCATTCCCATCTTCCCCCCAGCCGCTGGAAACTACCAATCTATTTCCTGTCTCTGGATTTGCCTCTTCTGGCTGTGTCAGAGAAATGGAATCATAGGAAAGGTGCAGGTAGATGTTTTTAAAAAGAAAAACATTTTCCAAGAAGATCATTCATTCTTAGAGTCAGAAAATTTACAGTTAAACAACTTTATTTAGAAAGTCCTAACTTCTTAACAACCGAATTTGTTATTGTTATGTTGTATAATAACATATTATCATAACAGTAACAAAGTCATTAAGAAGAGACAGGCTGGGGATTTTCCTTTAAAAACATGCTTGTGGCGGGGCTGCTCTTTCTCAGTCGCAGAGCTGAGAGAGGGAAGTCGCATGACTGGCATCTGCCCCTCCTTGCCGCCCGGTGGGAGTCTCAGGAATCCCTTGGTTTGGCGAGGTGTCCTCTGGCCGGCAAGGGGCTTTGGCGAGGCTCTCAGCTCTCAGAAGCCGACCCTCAGTCGGTGGGAGGTGCAGGGTGACAAACGTCTCTCCACTCTCCCTTTGTGTCTCTCGCAGGAGTGAAGAAGAGAACCAAAGTCATCAAGAACAGCGTGAACCCCGTGTGGAATGAGGTAGGCAAGCTTTCCTTTCTCCCTCCTTTTCGCTCTGCTGCCGCTGTCTCTGCAGTGACAGGTCAGCAGGAGGTGGCTTTCTCAGTGGCGTTGTCAAGGAGGCGGAGGGGCTGCTGGTCCAGGGTGTCAGCTGAGTCCGCCTGGTGCTAGGAGCCTGGGAGCTGGGTTGGTGGCCTGGCCTGCCCGGTAAACGGAAGCATCTCTTCTGATGTGGGTGTGGCTCGGGGAGGAGTGAGATGTCTATTGTTCTCTTCTCAGCTCTCCTCAGCCAGGTAGAACTACCAGCCAGGTCGTTTAGGGGCTCTCTGGCCTGCCCGGACTCCCTTACCCAGGGTTCTGCCTGCCCAAAGCCCACCTCCTCCGCTCAGTCCTCCCTGATTAACCAGATCCTCAGCCGGCTCCCCGCATATGGGCCCCCTGGTGGTCCGTGGAAGCTCAGGATGCCTTGTGCGGATACGGTTGGGATGCACAGGGTTACCTTTGCTCTGAGGAGAGTGCCAGGGCCTCTGGGTAGGCATACCTAGTGTGGCACTGATTCACGCTGCCCACCATGGGCCTGGCTTCTGCATGAGCACATTGATCTCAGTCCCTGAGGACCCTGTGGGATCACCATGCATTTTGCCCAGCTGTGCTCCTGGCCTGGCTTCCCAGTGATTGGTGGAATTGAGTTGGGGGGAGGGGGCCATGGGAGCCTGACCTCCTTCTTTCTTCTGCTGCCTTTGGCTTTTGCTGTCTCTTCTGAGGCTCTGGAACCCTGCTAGTCATGTATTCATTCATTCATTCATTCATTCACTCACTCGTTCATCCATCCACCCACCAGCATTGTTCGTGGATAGCTGTTCAGTGCCCTGGGGTAGACCAAGGTGACCCAGACACAGTTTCTTCTCCTAGGGGGCCACCAGTTAAGATGTGTTTTCTTTTTCTTCCAGGGCTTTGAGTGGGACCTCAAGGGCATCCCCTTGGACCAGAGCTCCGAGCTCCATGTGGTGGTCAAAGACCATGAGACAATGGGGAGGAACAGGTGAGGTGGACAAGGGGGCCTCTGAGGCCTGAAGGTATAGGGAGGGTCGTGGTGGACATAGACTCCAGCATCTGGGCCCTGGAGAGCTGGTGTCTCAACTCAGCGTTTATCGGAGACGTGCCTCTCGTGGGCCTGGCCTAGTGGTAGATGTTGGGGAGCAGCTTCAGGAACTCAGCCACGGGTAAATCTGACAGCTGTCCAGGCTGCAGGGAAGGGAGGTGGGCTCGGATCAGGTATGCACGCATTTGCGTGGACAGACTGTGCCCCGGGGAGCAGGGAGGAAAAGGCTCCAGCCCAGGGGAGCCTGGGCGCGGCCACCTCTCCCCGCCCGGTCCAGGCTGGTGAGGGCAGTGGCACGCTCTGGCAGCGGGCTGGCAAAATGAAGCTGCAATCAGCAGGGAGCTCTTGGGGAAGGCTTCACGGGAGAGGAGGGACTTGAGGCGAGATTCGTGGTTTAGCAGTGGGAAGGTGGTCAAGGGTTGCAGTGACTGCCCACGTCCCTGTGGCAGGCCTTTCTCTTGTTTCATGTACGAAGTGCAGAGGGTTTCCAGGCAGGGGCAAAAGCAGGCTCTTTATAGGCAGGCAGTGGGTCCTTTCTCCTGTCATTGAGCTGCGGGCCTTGTATGTGTATGTATGTAGTGTGTGGGGTGGTGGGCAGGACCAACCAAGCTTGCAGATTGATGGCCCTGCTCGTTGTGGGGTCAGGTGGTCTGGGAGAGCCTGTGGGGCCCCGGGGCCTTGAACGTGGGGGCAGGGTTCAGCCTCCCTGCTGGGCATGGCAGGGTAGGGCTGTGTTAGGTGCCGCTGGGGGTGGGTTCCCGCTCTTGGTGCCATTTACTGAGGCATGGGCTTGCTGTTTTGTGATCTGCTCACAGGGGTGCCTTTGTCTGGGAACTGGGTCAGCCAGTGTCTGAGGACCAGCAGGCCTGGCTGTGTTACCCTGGAATGGGAGAGGAGAGAGAGGGAAGAAGGGAGGAGTCAAAGGCCTAGGGAAGGCCAACGAGGGTCTCAGGCTGTGGAACACCTGGAAAGTTTGAGATCCTAAAAAGCTTGGAAGAAAAATCCAACTGCCATGGTCTCTTGGTGACTCTGCTGGTCACGGGTGCAGGGCAGGTTGTGTGTGGGGAGGGTGGGGGCACTTTCATTGGGACCTCCGCCCCACCTGCACAGGGGGCAGGGGCTGGAATCCCTTCACACTAATCTACCCCAACACAGACATTTTGTGGAAAAAAGGCAGCCTCTAATAAGCATGAATGGTGGAGCTGCAGGTGAGGGAGGGAGAAACGATGGGCACTGGACAGTCCTGGAAGGCTTCCTGGAGGAGGGCCACCCAGACTGACTCCAGGGCTTTGGAGGGTGAGGAAGGAAGGGCATTCCAGCATTCGGGTGTGGTGTGGAGCCGGGCTAAGGCCTTACGGGTGGGACTCACACATGTAGCCCAGTGAGGAGGGAGCCGTGGGACCAGATTGGGAGGGGTTCTCTGATAACAGGCTGAGGATAATAATAGCAAAACCACAACAGCTGATGTTGACCAAGGGCTTAGCCGAGTGTCTGGCGCTGTGCTGAGTCTTTATAATACAAGATCTTTTTTAATCAGCTGGGTACTGCTGTTACAGTTGTCATCATTTTGGGCTCTGAGAGATGGGGTGCTTTTTTCAGAGGCTGATGATGGCAGAGTTATCCTTGAAGGCAGGTCTGTAGCACGCTCATAATCACTGAGTCCCTGTGCCTCTCAGAGGCTCCTGGAAGGCCCCAGGGGGTGCTGGACCCTTCTGGAGAGTTCTGTTCCCTTATGATGCTGGACTTGAGAGGGCTTAGGGAGGCAAAGGTGGGACAGTCTGGTTGCTGCAAGGCACATGGGTTTCATTTTCATGATCGTATTCAGCATTTTACAGGCCCTGTGGGGAGATTTCTAAAATCATGAAGGAGACTTGAGAGCAGGTGCTGGGGAGATATTTTTGATCAATTCAAGGGCCAGGCTCGTCCTCAGAGTGACACCAGGCCAGTGCCACACATGGGGGCTGGGCTGCCCTGCACCTTGGGGCCTTCTCGTTGGCCCCTGAGGGTGTCCTCTAGCTCCTGGGGGGAAGCCATCTCCCTGAACACAAGTTCACTGCAGGGTCAGTGCTGGAAATCAGTTCCCCAAACTTCAATTTCCAGAGTTGCTAATTCTCAAAACTTCCCAATTTACTAGAAACTTCTTTCTTATAACTACTTGCATGTAGGTTTTGAGTTTTCCAAACATTTCTTAATTTTGCAGTTCTAGTGGGGTGCCTGGGTGGCTCAGTCAGTTAAGCGTCTGCCTTCCACTCAGGTCATGATCCCGGGGTCCTGGGATCGAGCCCCGCATCAGACTCCCTGCTTGGCAGGAAGCCTGCTTCTCCCTCTCCCACTCCCCCTGTTTGTGTTCCCTCTCTTGCTGTGTCTCTCTCTGTCTGTCAAATAAATTAAAAACAACAACAACAAAAAAGACTCTCTCCCTCTCCCTCTGTCCCTCCCCCCCCAAATAAATAAATAAATCTTAAAAAAAAAGAATGGGAAGAACACCTACTTTCTGCCTTCACATTGTCACTGTCCGGTCAGGAAGCCAGGAAGGAAATGACAGGCGTGACAGTGGCTGTTGTCATCTGACCTCAGGATTTCAGTGAGGACCTCCGTCATTTCTGGGCCTCCTGGGCCTGTGTGCTGTGAGCTCACAAAGCGTCCTCCTTGGGCTTCTCCCAACTGAGGTGGACCAGAGCCTCCACTGCTGTTAATTCTTGGTCCCCCTCTGTCTTGCCTCCTCTCCCTCCACCTAACCTCCTCGCTCTACCTCCATCTGTTTCTAGAGGTCCCCCAGAGCTCCCTCATTCCTCACAGCCCCTCCCTCAGCACCTCTGTCTCATAAGTCTCGCACTTCGCTTCTCCTCCCTCCTCTCTCCCTTTGTCCCCTCCAGCTCTTCTCCACCCCCACTCTCCTCTCTGTCCCCAAGGCCTCTGTGGCATTTGACGCTGCTCTGTTTCCCCTGATGATCATTGGCAATTTGGAGTGGCCTCAGTATACCAGACTGGTCTGCTGGCCCAGAAAGCGAGCTTGGGGAGCCCTCCATGCTGGAGGAGGGGAGCAGGGGCTGGGCACTGCCTCCTGGCTGCTTAGCACCCACCCACCCTGAGCCCCAGGGACCCCAGAGCCAACTGCAGAGCTGGGCCAACTTTGTGTGGATAAAACCAGGTCTGAAATGCACAGAAAAGGAAACTCCACTCCTGTGGGTAGGAGACACTGTGGAAAGCCCAGCGGGAGGTCCTGACGCCTGTCTCAGGCCGCACAGAACAGCTCCCTGTTTACTCTGGGCTGCTCAGAGTCAATTTAAATTTAAATAGCTAACATGCCTAGTGGCTCCTCTGTTGGAAAGCATAGCTCTAGATTTTTACAAGAGTGTTCCAACCCTGGCTGCATATTAGAATGACGTGGGAGCTGTTTTCTCTCTCTCTTTTTTAAAGATTTTATTTATTTACTTGAGAGAGAGGGAGAGAGCATGAGTGGGGTGTAGGGGCAGAGGGAGAGAAAGAAGCAGACTCTCCACTGAGCAGGAAGCCCAACACAGGGCTCAATCCCAGGACCCTGAGATCATGACCTGAGCTGAAGTCAGATGCTTAACTGACTGAGCCACCCAGGCGCCCCCCACTTTTATTTAAAGATTTATTTATTTATTTTAGAGACAGAGAGAGAGAGAAAGAGTGTGAGCAGGGAGGGCCAGGGGGGGCCAGAGGGAAAGGGAGAGAATCCTCAAGCGGACTCTTTGATGAGCAGGGAGCCCGATGAAGGGCTCCCTCCCAGGACCCTGAGATCATGACCTGAACTGAAACCAAGAGCCTGAACCACCCAGGCGCCCCCTGATGTGGGAGCTTTAAAAGAGATCAGTGTCTGGGCTGCACAGCAAATTGATTAAACAAGACACTCTGGAGTGGGGTGCGGACATCACTGGGGGAGGCCAGTGTGCATCCAAGGTCGAACACACCCACTGCAAGGAAGTGCTCTCAGTTTTTTTCATGGATTAGCTAGGAAATAAATATAAACTGTCACTCTTGTAATAGTGCACATGTGTGATTCCTCATGGACATGACCACCATGAAATAATCATGGCTAAAACCGCACATGGTAGAATCGTGCAGGAAATGAAAAAGGGAATGAGGAATCTTGTTGGTATTTGTAAACACTGACCTAGGGAAAATTGGACTTAATAGAAATAATTCCATAAGAGAAAACTCAAAATCGAAAGGAGCTATATTTGTTAGTGCTGATAGGAACCAAAAACAGGGAGAAAAAAAAATCTTTGAGGCAAATCTGTGTTGGGAAATTTAAACAGAAAATAGTTGTTACCAATGACAGTAATTTCAGTCAAATACAAATGAGGAAAAAAGAAATAGTTAATTGCACTGTATAGAAAATATGTCAACAAATCAAATGTGGTTAATTTAATTTAATTTAATTTTCCGGAGAATGCCTTTTCCATGGAAATTAATTAATGTAGGTGTATTTTTTATTTAAATATTTGGTAAACATACACATGGAAGCAAAAGTCTCCATCGGGTCAAAAAATCTACCTGTCCAAAAAACACCAGGGTCAAAATGTTCCTCCCTTGCTCCAGGCCAGGCCTGGGGTAGGGTGGCCAGATTCAACAAAGAAACATTCGGGACACCCAGTTAAGTTTGTCCCAAATATTGCATGGGACATGCTTATAATAAAAAATTATTCATTGTTTATCTGAAATATAAACCTAATAGGGGATTCTGTATTTGATCTCTCTAAGAGTGACCGTGCACCCCATCTCCCTTTAATTAATTAATTAATTAATTAATTAATTATTTTATTTATTTGTCAGAGACAGAGAGAGAGAGAGCACAAGCAGGGGGAGCGGCAGACAGAGGGAGAAGCAGGCTCCCTGCTGAGAAAGGAGCTCGATTTGGGACTTGATCCCAGGACCCTGGGATCATGACCCGAGCTGAAGGCAGATGCTTA